GTGTGTGTGTGTGTGTGTGTGTGTGTGTGAGAGAGAGAGAGAGAGAGAGAGAGAGAGAGAGAGGCCTTGGGCATGCTGGTTGAAGTAATCCAAGTCTCTTTTCTCAGCCATGTAACCATAAAGTTGGCGCTTTCCACCAGTACCAGTATAGAACGGCACCCGATTACGATCCCAAGCTTCCCTATCTTTTCCATCTTCTTTTAAATGGGTACTCAACCGCTCAGCCTCTAAATAACCCATAGCAGAGGCCTCAAATATCAGAACACTCATCCCCCGGTGCCCCTGTGGACCATAGGAATGTCTAGCCTTGGCTGCAGCATAAGAGTCGAAGTATTCGAGAAGCTCTTGATTCCCCATACCAATCCACTAAAATGCAGTCAAACAAAAAGATGAATTCAGTTGTTCCATCAAACAGGTTAGTTTCAGAAGAAGAACCCAACTAGCTGCATTTGCTATGGAACTGTGCTATGTAACAACTTGTTGGCATTCCACACTATTAATTAAGCAATAAAGCACAAATTATACCTTGTCATTTTCATCCTTGTCATGTCTGGTGTTCATGATGACTACCATTGGTGGCCAAACTATTTCTTTGTCTATGTTTGTTTCTTTTAAGCCCTTCCATTTGCCATAAACTTCACCAGTTGGCATGACCGAAGTTCCCTTCCTACGCAATTCTTCATCCAAAAGTTCTGCAAGTTCTCTGTGGATCTTTGCCCTTTTTGATCCTTTGGTTTTGGCATGTGTCATAAGAGGCTGCAGACCACGGTACCAGTTGATAGCACCAGGGCCACCTTGGCAAGCTGGGCAATGCCACTGTCTTTCCGGTTCATTGATCTGCTCAACATTCAGATTATCCAAAGTTTCAAAAAATTCCTTGAACCACCTGCTCCTCTTTCGTGTCTCATGGCTTTTCTGGCTTTCATCTGAATCAAAGCCATCGCTTAGAAGTTCATCATCTGTGTCATCAATTGCATCTGAGTCGCCATCATCATCAACCATGTCATTCTCACCATCATTTGTGGAAACTTCCTTTTTGCCCATGCCATCGTCAGAAGAGGATGCAGCTCTAGATGACCACTTCCACCCATGCACCAGGGGAGGAGGAATTGCAGTTGGTGAAGCAACATAGTTGCTCTCAAAACCTCGGTTAGATGATTGTGGCCTTGCATTTCCTCTTCCAGCAGGTCTTCTAGAATCAGCAGTTGGTGTTGGCCAGGCATTGTTAGGACCCTTTCCTGATCCATTGTTACTTCGCATACCACCCAACTTGAGACCATCTGGATGACCCCATGCTTTAGCATTGGAGTTCTGAGAACTCCATGGTTTTGCAGCACTGCTTCCTGCTCTATTCTTGGACTTCTTTGCATAAACCTCCCACCCATCATCCTGTGAAGAATTCAGGCTCAAGTCCTCCACGCCATGACTCAATTGATCAACCTGAGGACTAAAGACTTCAGATGTGCCTTTTTCCTTTAGTAAGTCAGTAGTACCAGCACTGAAAGGCTTTCCACTCCCTTTGCTCAAACTCATCTTTGCATGAAATAACTGGCTTGGTCACTGGTTCAAACGAAAAATGTCACAACCTCACTTTAAATATAGCATATGAGTATGGTAATTAGCCTCATTCCAGCTAAAGGACAATTTAGAATTTATGGTCATTACAATGTTTTCAAAGCAAACAAAAAGGGCGACCCAAAGCACAAAGCTCCCCCCATTCTGGATCTCACATTATATAAAATCATATTTTCAACATCTGAAATGCAATTATTTTGTAGGGTAAGCAAAAATTCCAAGATCTCACTATTAAAGCAGTAACTAAGAAAATTAATGTTAAAAAAAGTAGAATCCCTCAAGTAAACCAACTTGATGGTGCATCAAAATTCTTCAACAAATTACCAGAATATGAATTTATGAAAAAAGTGTGTATGTTCATTATGAGCTCGTCCAAAAACACGTTATTATCTCACCTCATCTACTTCTCTACACTGCACTTCTATGATAGTATGACTGCGGTTTATGATTTTCAGTTTCTTCTCTACCAACATTGATATATCCATTTCGTGTATGCACTTACAGTTACAGTCTTACTACATACTTGAGCTGCACCCAAACCTCTAAGGCTCAGAGGTTAATGCATCCAGTAGAGTGCAAGAAGTGTTCAATGGATGTATAAAAATAAAAAACATAGGCTCAAACCAAAGGCATATTCAGGAGACATCAGATGCATGTTTGGAAGCACAAAATTCATTGATCATAAACATGAACAAGCATTTACCTTTTTAAAAAAAAATTTAAAAAAAAAAAAGTACTGCAGTGTTTAGAAAATCAATCAATTTGCACAAATCCTACATGTAAGGATGAACAGAAAATTTATCTTTGCTTCAGTTTCATAAATTTAAAGGTCCAATAGCAAATTCTGCATGTGATCCAGCATCCACATGAATAAAAAGTCATAAACTGAGATCCTGGGCTCAGCTGACCATGAAGACAATCAGTGCCAAAACATTCAAATGCGTACATAAATTGGAGCAGGAGTAAAAACCAAATTCACCAACAAGAGGTAGAAAAAGAAGACCAACATTCATAACCCTGCATAAAGCCATGAACACAATTGCAAAGATGAAAAGGGGGAAATTCTACTTCACTCTAAAATTACTAGACATAGGAAAGACTGCTGGACAGTTGCGGGTAGTAAGACACATCAAATATGCCATAAATACTCAGAAGAATGAGAAACAAACATAGCCAGGTTATGCAAATTACATATTGGTTAAATTTTCATTATCCAAAATGGAATTCATTCAACAAGCGTAGAGGAAACAATAGCTTAATTACTACCCGCCCCTCACTAGATCAAAGAACTTAAGCTTGACCAAGTGAAAGATCTTATCCCCCCTGGGGAGACTCGATGCTCCGACATTCTATCTCACGTGTCAAAAACTGGAAAAAGCACAGGAGTATTGATTTTATAGAAAACGGTTTCAAACTTGAAGAAACATTTTCTTATGACAAATTCATTTACCAATCATGCATAACCCATTATGTAGACTAAAATCACACGTTTTATTTGCTAATGACATCTCCAGAAGAATTATTTGCAACATATATGAATAAAACAAATGGTTATTGACAGAAACACAGTGTGCACGAATAGATATCTGCTCGCATTCGCATAAATATAGACAAAAAGGACTGTAATATGAAAAATAGTTAAAAAAAAAAAAAACAGAAACAGAAACATTACAGCAGTGAAGTATCAACATTTATCATAAAATAGCCCAAAATAAATCAGAAAATCATAAATAAAAAATATGCGCACCATGACATTCAAAACCTAACTTCTCTCTAACAGTAAAATAGAAACAAAAACACTTTATTCTCTCTCTGTAACCGCACTGTCTCCTCCTCTCCTGTCGTATAAGATCGGTAATACATACAGATGTATATACCAGATAGACAGAGAAGTGAGGCGATAATAGTTAATCTCCGACCGAACAGAGAGTACCTTATAGTCTGACACTTTAGTCGCCCAAAAATGACGACGGATCGCCAGATAAAGGAGTTCTGCGGTGAACTCGCCGGGAAGTGGTATCACGAGCGTCGCCGTAGTATGCAGACAGAGAGGGATTGGGGAAGGGAGGGGAGTGAAGAAAAGAGAGAGAATATGCGTCAGTGAGAAGCAAAGATAGTACCTGAGCTACTTTATAGTGTGGGTCAGTGATGAAAGAGGGCTCCGGACTCCAAATGTTTTATTCACTGCAGTGAATAAATAAATAAGGGGATGAAAAAAAGATGGTTAATTTCATTTTGCACTCCGAAAGATTGTTCGAATCTCAATTTATATCCTTAAAGATCAAAAATCTCAATTTATACCCTCAAAGATAGAAATTTGTATCAATGTGCACCCCCAAAGATCAAAAATCTCAATTTGCACCCTCAAAGATAGAAATTTGTATTAATGTGCACCTAAAATTAAATTGATAAATTATACCTAAATCCCTTCATATTTGTCAGTTAATCATTTAGACCTCTTCACATTTAGAATATTACTCCTACATCTTATGACATTTGTGCACGTATAACACGTAACTCATTTTCATTGATATCTATTAATATAATCGTTAAAAAATATAATTTTATCCTAATAAAAAATTATAATTTCATATTACCCTTTATTTTATAGGTTCAATATACTATAAAGTTTAAAATCTAGTTTACCATTTGAATGTCTAATAAAATATAAATATTTGTATAATATTTTTTATATTACCTTTTAAATAAATATCTACATTTTATTAGACATTTAAATGGTAAGCTTAATTTTTAACTTTAGAGTATATCAAATCCACAAAATAAAAGGTAATATAAAATTATAATTTTATATTAGGATAAAATCATATTTTTTAACGATTATATTAATATATATCAACGAAAAGTGGTTATGTGTTACACATGTATAAACGTCATGAGATGTAAGGGGAATATTCTAAATGTGAAGGAGTTCAAATGATTAAGTGACAAACATGAGGGGATCAAGGTATAATTTATTAATTTAATTTTAGGTGCACATTGATACAAATTTCTATCTTTGAATGTGCAAATTGAGATTTTTTATCTCTGGGGATGCACATTGATACAAATTTCTATCTTTGAGGGTGCAAATTAAGATTTTTGATCTTTGGGGGTGCACATTGATACAAATTTTTATCTTTGAGGGTATAAATTAAAATTTTTGATCTTTAAAGATATAAATTGAAATTCAAACAATCTTTCGAAGCGTAAAATGAGATTAACCCAAAAAAGATAAAGTACTTACCAAGACTTTCCAGCTGGCACACAGAGAGAGAGAATTATGTGACGGTCGGTCAAAACAATGATACCATCTTCTTCTTCTTTTTTTTTTTTTTTTTTCCTTATTAGAGAATAGATAGATAACCAACTCTTGAACTTTCAATTTCAGTCATGTATTATATGGCGCTGAAACTTAATAAAAAAATTAACTTATCAGACATATATATTATATTTTTTTAATAACTTTACAATTGAGAATAATTAATTAAGAATATGTAATATTTTATAAATAATAATGTGTATTACATGTTACTGTCATGTGTGCCTAGTGAGCATAAAAAAAAAATCCATATCGTAGACGCATAAGTCTAACGGTATTATTAATGCCAGAGTGATCTTGTTGTCGTGATCGATTGAGATTCAATTTTTATTTTATTAATTCATCCAAGAAAAAAAAAGTTGAACAGAATGAATGGATGGAAAAAAAGAAAAAAATTCATTCGACCCGTCATTTAATTTGAGTATTATTTATTTGGGTTAAATTTCACTGGCATACCCTCGAGGTTGACCTAATTATAGGAACACTCCGTAATTTTTGAAATGTCATTGTATACCCTTATAGTTTATTATAAATTTGGCATAGTAATAGTACCCCTAGAGTCATTGCCGCTACTAACATCTAACATAATCATTGATGTCATGAAATATATTGTAGTGCAGTATCAATTTTACCCCGAAATTGACTCTTCAATTTTATTAATCAATTGACATTTAAATTTATTAACACAAATATTAGTTTCATCGCACTAACACTAATTTAATTCCAAATTAATATTTTAAAATTTAATTTTATTAAATTAACATGCTATTCATTGAGCTTGGAGCTGACCTCCGTGTCAATATTGATGGGTCAAGTCCAATGGCTCAGCTCAAATTACAAGTCCGATCTGAGTTCATAGCCCAACTCCAAGAGATCTAGCGAATCTAGTTCAATATGGTCCACTCGGTCAAGCTCATCAAGCTCAAGGAGCCATATCAGCTGGGAGCATGTAAGGTCATCCAAAACCTCATCCTCGCCGCTTCGGAAAGAGTCAATCCTCACCTCATCCTTTGACAGAATCTCAGGGAGAGCACGTAACTGTCTCGTTCGTTGAGAAGATGTCGTCAGCTCCACCAGATTAGCTATTTAGTTACTATGAAGTCGCTCCAATCCGTTATGACGCAACTATAAATTGTAAGCTCCGCCAACACTTGGGGGTATTACATTCAGTCGAGCATAACTTTTATCTTTCTCTCAGCTTTTAACTCTTTGCTCTCCTTACACACTTGAGTTAATAAAATATCCGACGACCTTAGTCATTCAAAGTGGGTGTCTGTCACGTTGATCGAATCACTATAAACCTTGTCTTGCTTTTATCTCTATCTCTGACTTATTAATTACTGCATTTATTACTGTTCATCTGATAGGTGGTGTACAAACTCAATTTGTGCATCATCAGTTTGACGTCGTCTATGGGAACGACAGAATTCTCACTTCTAAACACTTTCTTTGTTGAACTATGACGATCACCACCAAATTAATGAATCAACCTAAGGATAATCCACCACGAGAGGAGGAGGTTGCTCATCTACCAACCAATCTTGTCCCAAATGCGTTGTAAATGTTAGAGATCGTGCAACAGCTTGTGGTCCAAAATCAACAAATACTGCAACTCGTGCTCGTCAGACAAGTAGGAGCGCAATCTGTTGGACCCCAAGCTAGAGGAGCTCCACGCCTTGGGCGTCAAGGATCTCCGGGCGCCCCCTTTGGAGCCCCCTTGGGCGCCCCACCCTTGGGAGCTCCCTTAGGCACCCCACACGGGGGAGCTCACCATGAAAGACCTCCACCTCCTCTTCCAGCTCTCGCTTCTTATGGTGAAGATCCTTTTTTTCAAGAAGATGAAGGTGAAAACCACATTGTGGAGCATGAGAGCCATTTCCACGACAATTCCAAATGAGCTTCCAACCACTGGAACAAAAAAAATAAAAGAGGTGTAAAATTAACTAGGTGATGTCTTCAATAAAGGCCTAAGGACCCGAGACGGTGAACTACCACATTAGGCGAATCGACCCACCCTTCGTACCTGACATGACCAATTTTCCACTCCCCCAAAAGTTCAAGATGCCCCCCATCGAAACCTTTGACTATACGAAGGAACTAATTGATCACCTGGAAACTTACAAGATCTTGATGCAACTGCACAACGTCCCCGACAAAATTATATGTAGGGCGTTCCCAACCACCTTGAAGGGATCAGCCCGACAATGATTTGCCAAGCTCTTCTTAACCTCCATCGCCTCTTTTGCTGAGCTAAGCAGGTCCTTCATGTCGGACTTTATTGGAAGGCATCGCCACCAGAAGCCCACCACCTACCTGTTCAGCATAAAGCATGCCCGAGACGAGGAGCTACCTCACTCATTTTAACGAGGAAGTCCTTCGGGTCGAGGAGCCTAACGATAAGGTAACTATGACCGACTTCTTGGGAGGCCTTCGATCATCAAACTTCCTCTTTTCAGTGATGAAACACCCACTGAAGAGCATATCAGAGTTGCTGGCAAAAGCTCAGAAGTACATGAATGCTGGGGACATCACAAGGGCCAGACGAGGTAAGTTCTCCCGAATAGGCGAGAAGAGAAAGAAAGAGATAGGGACGACAAGAAGGAGAGTGGCAACAAACGCAGCAGGACAGAGAGGGATAGGGTACCTACCAAAGACCAGTTTGGTCCTGGTCCTTAGAGAGACCAACAAGTATTCACCCCCTCAACGCTGCTGTCGGACACATCATATTCCAGATCTAGGATGACCTCGCAATAAAGTGGTCTGAGAGGATGAAGTCTCCTCCAAACTGTAGGAATCCAAACAAATATTGTCGCTTCCATCGCGACCATGGTCACGACACCGATGATTGCTACGACCTCAAGAGACAGATTGAGGAGCATATATAACGTGGTCACCTTCGTCAGTATGTTGTTGGAAGGGGTCAGGCGCTGTCACTGCCTCACAATCAAGAAGACCAGCAACCCATTGGAGAACTCCACACCATCTCTGGAAGGCTAGCAGGAGGAGGAGAATCACTCTCTACCATGAAGACCTATGCTAGGAAAACTAGGCACCTCGACGAACTGCGCCCAAGCATAGCAATAGCAAGGTCATATCCTTCTTAGACAAGGACTTAGAAGGAATCCAGCACCCCCACGATGACCCTCTGGTGCTCACCATGACCGTCGCCATCTTTCAAATACGAAGGATCCTGGTGGACAGCGACAGCTTTGCTAATATCTTATTCGTAGAAGCCTATGACAGCTCAACTTGGGCAGAGAGATATTACAGCCGATCAAGTCGTCCCTCATTGGGTTCTCAGGGGAAAAGGTGTATCCCCTAGAGACCATCACCCTACCAGTCACTGCCGGTACAACACCCCGAAGCTTCATAGTCATGGTCAACTTCTTAGTCATAGACTGCTCGTCGGCCTACAATATCATCCTAGGGCGACCTACTCTCAACACCCTAAGAGTTGTGCCCTCCATCTATCATCTCATACTCTACTTTTCGATCCAAAATGGAGTCGAAGAGGTTTGAGGAGACCAGGTAGCTACAAGGGAGTGCTATGTCTCTTCTATGAAGACTAGAAAGCCCCCCATGAGGCACTACAAGTGGAGGTCTTCGATCCAAGGGATGATGCCACCATAAAAAGAGGAGAACCAGTCGAGGAGCTCACCCATGTGGTCTTAGATGGGAAACATCCAGATAGAAGGGTGTACATTGGCTCTTTCCTTTCTGAAGATTTGGTCCGTCAGCTCATAAACTTTCTAAGGCGCAACATGGACGTTTTTGCATGGTCATATGTAGACCTTGAGGGCATTGACCCTGAGGTCGCCATCCA